GATCTAACAGATAAACTAAATCATAAATTAGCATTGATTATTCCTCGTTACTTAAACAGATAAATGTGTGTGACCGTTTCTGATTTTTACACTGTTTGTATCTTTGCTCGATTCGTAACGTTTTCGTTAAGTGCGGGCTTGGCTAACTACCGTAGTTAAGAAGGCTCGGAGGTACTACTAACTTCTCATTAATGTGATTGAATGATTCAGTTTTCGAAACAATTTTGCATTTACTTTTTCGTTTACTTTATGACTCACAAGCTGTTCAATGATTTCTACTTCAATCAGCTCTTCTTTCATCAAAAACAATTCTTGATCGGGTTCAGACAAATGGTTTTGTGTCTTTTGTAATATCTGCATTTGTCGCTATCGACAATTTATACTGCTGCAATCGTTCATGAATGTATTTCCAACAGGTGAGATGCTACTGCTGTAATAAACGATATTTCATGTGATATTCATGAGTGGAATGTTTGAATGTGTTCAGTTCATACTTGTTCAATGATGCATAGTCACTGATCACACAGGTAGAATGAGAGTATAAAATAGGGGCTTTATGCACTTGTCGTATCTGGAAACTCACGGTAAATCAGTTTACATTCATCGAATCATGAATTACCACTTATTCCTTAACTATTACTTCATTGTAACGTTTGCTTTTCCGTTGATCTCGAAGTTGATTTTACGGAAATTCATTCCATCCTCCCTTTTTATGTACACATGAAATTGTTGATAGATTTCAAATTTTCCATCGCTGATGAATGTCTTTTCTTCATTGCTTCCAGTTTTTAATTGCTGACGTGATATTCATATTCATTCGGCAATTGTCAACAAATTTCCGAACTGGTTTTAGGTTTGCTTTTGGCGTCATGTGTGGAACTGGTAAATTATTGTAGGGGACCCTCGAAGAGGAAATGGAGTTTCGATGCATGAGAAACACTGTTCTAACAGCAATACTTTTTCTGCTGGACGAAACGTGATAAGTACGAAATGAGACTGACGCGTTTCTTTTTGTTTCTTATTATTACTTCATTACTCTAAACCACGTACCCATAAACTGTGCCGCTGGCTGCCACCAAAGATCATATTGTATATTATGCAACGTATTTAGGATGTGCAATAAAATTGACTGCTGAATGTGTACTCCTGCTTTCGTTTATGTTGTGTAGTGATTGAATTAGCATATGTGATCAAATTAACATACGTGATCTGCTGATTTGCATATATGAGTTGTCGTCTATTGTTAGAAATTTACATATAAAAGAGCTCTATATAAGGGCGAGATTTCATTGTCTTGTCGTGTCTTGATTTGATCATAAGTAAAGGATTGTTTCGTTGTCTCGGGTCGCTCATCATCAGTCTTCAACGACACAACAACTGGTGATTAGGATCTCAACGACTTTCGTGTTTTGGTTGCCGAAAGTGGTAAAGGAGAGCACTGAGAACTCGTATTCCATACGAAGCCTTAATATCATGCGCCCTTTACTGCACCTGAGGTGTCAGCACGTGGCCAACTTGATACGTTTGACGATTTCAGTGAAACGTTTTTCTCCTTGCTTGACTAAGCTGCATAGGCCGATAGACCCAAAGAAGAACTCCGCCAAGCCTTGTCTACTTGTGACTGGGGTCATCAGTGCGGTTCAACCGTCTCAGCACAAGTAACAAGAGACGCTCCCTCTGGGGTTAGTGCCCTAGCATCGTTAGATGCGGACCTATATCAGCAATGAACGACATCAATGATTCTTAATCGACTACGGCGGACCCGCTCGTCATGTTGCTACAGCAACACCAGCAGCAAATGCAGCAATAACAGCAGCAAGTGCAGCAGTTCGGCACAGTGTTGACTCTACTACAGCAACAGATGGCCGACCAACGAACGAGCACTCCTCGACAGCCATCGACGGCAATCGCGTCATCCGCCATGGATTCAATGCTCGAAAATATCATCACCACCATTTCATATGCGCCAGATGATGACATTACATTCGCAGCATGATATAAACGCTATGAAGATATCTACAAGGTGGATGGTAAAAAACTTGACGATGCTGCAAGAGTCCGTTTTCTCTTGAGAAAGTTGGATGCGGTCGCATATGAAAAATACTCCAACTACGTTCTCCCGCATCAACCTCGAGACATTCAGTTCAACGAGACGAATCCTAAAGGATGTCTTCGGTCCACGAATATCAACGTTCATCCAACGTTATCAGTGCCTCAAGATAACGAAAAACGACCGTGACGACATCATCACGTATAGCAGAATCGTTAATCGAGAGTGCGAGAAATTCCGATTAGGCGAGTTGACTGCCGAGCAATTCAATTGCCTAATCTTCGTCTGTGGATTTCAATCACCGTCAGACGCGGAATACTGACATCAGCTACTCAGCGAAATCGACTCAGACGATCAGGTAACGCTGAACAGTCTTACCACACACTACCGCCGTCTCGTCACGTTCAAACACGACACCAGAATGGTTGAATATTCCAGTGGTTTTCATGCAATCGCTAACGAAACAAAGTTACGTCAGAGACCACAATCAACACAGTAAACCCATCTATCAGAGCCGAAACCAACAAGATCAACCGACATTACAACAAAAAATATTCCTAAAAGCCCTTGCTGGCAATGCGGAGGTGTTCACTATGTACACGATTGTTCATACAATCGACACAAGTGCACTACTTGCGGAATATTTGGCCACAAAAAAGGCTACTGCATATTCAATCGGAAGCATCATCGACGCAGTCACCACCAAACATATCGCTCTTCTGGCGTTCACAGCATCGTCACATCACGAGAAACCCGTCGACGACGCCGATATAACAATATTCAACTGAACAACCGCTCGATTCGATTCCAAAACGACACCGGCTCGGCCATCACTATTATGGAAGCAGGTCGGCGCACCCAAACAATCGGAAGCTACAATGGAAGCATCGGCTGCTTCAAATAATCTGATACAATTTTCAGGTCAATTCTCACAAACAATGAACGTCAACGGCAACAGTGCAAACGGGTTTATCTTCGTTGGTAAAAACAACAACGTTCATAACCTACTTGGCCTCGACTTTATGGATATACTCAACCTGTGGGATCTCAATCAGTTTTGTGATAACGTACGACGATCATCGTCAGTTCATCAAGTGTTCGACCAGCAGCAACCAGCTTCAATGGTATTGAACATATCTTCTCGCCACCCTCCCATCCATAATCCAACGGCCAAGTAGAAAGATTTGTCAATACATCCAAACGAACACTTTACAAATTCAAGAGGGAAGAGACTACGACAGAAGCACTTCAGACATCCCTTCTCAACTTTGAAGAATCAGTCTCCAGCAGAAATACTGCTAGGAAGATGCCTGCGCACATCAATGGATTTGATTCGGCCCACTGCACCTAACACACCACGACGCAACGGTGTAATGGAGGAAGAGTCTAACAAAAAACATGGCGCACATGAAAGATCATTCGTCAGAGGTGACCTTGTTTATGTTCGAAGTTATCATGGGCAGCAAAGGGAACGGAAAAAGGGAATAGTCCTCAAGAGAAGAGGAAGAGTGCTATATGATGTTCAGATTGGCACAAATGTTTGAAAGAGACACGCAAATCAACTGCTCAAAAGAGAGCCTGACAAACAACCCTGCTCAGGTAATAAGACATTGAATTTGCTCCTCGACGCCTTCAATGCCAACCTAATTTCAACACCTGACCCTTCCCCACAACAACACTCGCCAAATCGGATTCATCGTCGTCCACAGCGTTTGGTCGAGGAAGAAATCGTACAACTCAACAATTCAAAGCGGAGGTGCTGTGCAGTGATCGAATTAGCATATGTGATCAAATTAGGATACATGATCTGCTGATTTGTATATATGAGTTGTCGTCTATTGTTAGAAATTTGCATATAAAAGACTCTATATAAGGGCGAGAATTCATTGCCTTGTCGTGTCTTGATTTAGTCCTAAGTAAAGGATTGTTTCGTCGTCTCGGGTCGCTCATCATCAGTCTTCAGCGACACAACAGTTTACAATTTCCATATCCATTTTTATATCGTATGCTTTTCTTGAAAGGAACATGAGTCTTACTGCCTACTGCATTACCTGGATTGACTAGGCTATCCAACGTTTGTAAGGTTGCTGGCCACAATGCTCGCGTTTCCGTGCACACCGTTTAGCCTCAATTTACGCCACCCCGCTGACAAGGCGAGCAGGCTAACTGAACACAACCGAGTATTTAATTAGTTGCCGTGAATGCTTTGCACAATTAATCGTAGCCAAATATCAATCCAATAAATTATCATAGCTCTAACCGACGGTGACCGAGATTCAAAATTTGTCCTGCCGGTAGCCACGGAAAAAAATCTTTTGGTCCCCAACGGAGGTTAATCTGAAAATTTGCCCATTAAGCATGATTTCGCGCGAAAATGACTCTTATGTGTGCAATATTATTGGAATGCTATACTAAGCAGTTTCGATCACTACTTTAATCATCTTTGCTGTGTTACTCTTCAATTAAATTCTTTTTTAAAAAACTGTAGATGATAAGAAAAGGAGCATAAAAGCAGTTTGCGTTTCTTTCGCTGAGAAATGTTTCGCTGTTTACTTGTTGATTCAATTTGCTGACTTATCAGTTTTGAGAAGGGGTAAGAATAGATTTCAGTGGAACGAATAAGTGTTCGAAGTGTACTAGTGATAAGAGCACTGATTACAATGACAATGAGCACTGATCACTGAGTACCCTCCGATCACTCCCTTACTAATTTCATTATGTTGATCAATGATCAAATTAGTAAGGGACTGATTGGAAAATACAGCGTGACATGGTGCCGATTTGCTGTGTTGTTTTGTTCGCGCATATTATCCTATATACACTGCGATATTGAAGTGGCACAAAATTTGCATAAAATCACTGATTGTGAGTGAATTCACGTTTTAACGCATTTTACGTCGATACACTGATGCGAATGAAATAAACGCGATGTGCATCACACATCACGGTGGCATCGTGAGGTATGTGGTGAACTAGATGGTACACTTTACTATCGCTTCAGTGTCCTATTCAACTACAATCACGATCTAGAGGAAGTTGTGTTTTTAGCGTACGATTGGCTAATCTTCATAACCGTCTGCCGCAGTCTACTCGACAATGGCTAAAGTTTCACCTGAGGTTTTGAACTTCTCATTCACAAATTTTTTACTTCAACTTGTTCAATTACTAGAGCAAAATGTATGTGCGAGGTCGTTCATTGTCAAGGGAAGCTTACCATTATCTCATGTAAGGTGGTGAGATTACATTGCCATCGATCATTCATATGATCTCACGGCTGGATGAAATTTGGTGATTCACATCGGCCCATATTTTGTCGCATAAATACATTGCATTTATTGCACACGTATGCGCTCAATCGCCTGGATCAACGATACACGACCATCGCTGATTCATCTAATATATTGGATTGTGCACTAATACATTTTTATTGCTGCAAGTTGTGAGATGCGGTATGACATCAAAATACAGTTTGTTTGATACAGTTAGTCAGACATACATGTTGACACTGATCAAATATTTCACGACAACTAGAGTAAACGTTTTCGTTGTTGCTGAAGAATGACCAAAAAACCAACGAATCATTTCGAATTATCAGCAATTTTGTGGAATTAAACAGCTGAATGTTCTGCCCAATTTCACATGCAGTTTTGCTTTTACGACCGTTAATATACTTCGCAGATACTCCTGCAACAGAACTCCATTCTGCTTCTGTTCCGTGGAATGAAATCGAACTTTTTTTCGGTATTCAATT